AGGGCCTTGTATGGATTGTGAAGCAAAATACTTTAGCAGAAATCTAGATAATTTGATAAAAAATATTTTAGATTTATTTATCTAAATAATTCAGTCTAGCCACATCGCTCTCTTCCTCTCTGCTTTCCCTCTCTAATATCCCCTTTTGTTTTTTTTTTTCTCTCTCTCTGCTTAAAAACCTGCATTCCCTATCCCATTCTTGATTTAAAACTGAAAGTTAAACTCAGTTCCAGAATGTCTGCTTTGGTGCAAATGTAACTTTGAAACCTTAACCTGGCTGGTGTCTAGCTGTTGCAATGCCCCAGTCTTCACACCTGGTAGAGGAGATGAGAGGGTGTTGCTATTGTTACTGCTCCTTCCTTGTGGTTTGGTGAGATCCTAAGTCTGCCCTCCTTATTGTTTGGGAATTCGGAGGCTCAACAGCCTCCTTCACCAAGGACTATTTCAAGACTGCCCCAGTTTTAGCCCTGAGAGTCCCCTGTCCCTAGACACCCCTCACCTGGAACAGATCAGGACAGTAACTAATGCATTTCCCATTGATTTTTATTAGGTGAAAGTGATTCTGATAATTATATAATTATTGATTAATTATTGGTCTGTGCCAGGAGAGGCCACGTCCCTGCTTGGTCACTCCCACCAATGAATAACATAAAAAGAGTTTCAGAACTCGGCTGAACTAATTACCCAAACAAACAAAAGAATGGTGACAAACTTCAGTATATCCATCACCTCTACTGGCTTTGTCCTCAGGAAAGAGGAACTGAATGGGAGGACTTGACTAGGGCCGGGGAATTGGAGAAAGGACAAATTTTAAGGTATTCCGTTTTATTTTGGGACTAAAGGAAGATAGTTTCTGAGATCAGTTTGTGGAGTCCCAGAAGATGAGCAAAGAATCTAGAAGCTAGGGGAAAAGAAAGCCAATAAATGTGGTTTGCAATTCTTCTTCATGAGGATATGTCGCTGGCAGATAGTCATTATTCAATGCAGCTGGTCCTGAGGTCAGCCCTGGAGTCTCATGTTTATCTGGTTTTGCTGCTTTTCTGGGCCTAGAGCTGAAATACAACTAAGGCCTAGTTGCTAGGGAAGAAAGGTCACACTGCGGATGAGATCCCATTTTAGTGACCTTTTGTATTTGGCCCATTGTCCTTGCTCTGCTCATATCTGCCTACTTGACTACCATAGCCCCATCAATACCTTCCCCGACCCATCAATTAAAAAGTGGTGGGCCACCGAAACCGGTTTGGCTCAGTGGATAGAGCGTTGGCCTGCGGACTGAAGGGTCCCAGGTTTGATTCCAGTCAAGGGCATGTACCTTGGTTGCGGGTACATCCCCAGTAGGAGGTGTGCAGGAGGCAGCTGATCAATGTTTCTCTCTCATCGATGTTTCTAACTCTCTATCCCTCTCTCTTCCTCTCTGTAAAAGATCAATAAAATATATATTAAAAAAAAGAAAAGAAAAAAGAAGTGGTGGGTCGAGTGAATGGTACTAGAATTTCCATCACCAAGTGGCAGATATTTTGAAACTGAGGGTCAATCTGTATTTACTGAAGCTCTTATCCATTCATTTTTCTCGGTTTAGCTGCTGTAGGATGATATAATCTCCTAACTGGTCTCCCTCCCTTCATTCTTGTTCCTCCAAGTCCATTGTATCATATCAATGTGAATAATCTTTGAAAGGCATAGATTTTATTATTTTACCCCCTATCCCATCTTCTGGGTTGAAATTATCTACTGGGTTCTCATCACACCTAATATAAAGTATTGGAAATCTTTATCACAGTTTTGTAAAATGTGGCCTCTGCCTACCTCTCTTACTTCACCTTACCCATGCAGATCCAGCCACATGATCATCTTTCTGCTTCTTGAATGTGTTAAGGTAATGTCTATGGAGAGTTGCAGGAGCTGGGAATGTGTCCTCTTTCAACTTCTGAAATAACTGCCTTCTTTTGGTTCATCATCTAGTCAATTATTCTCTATTATATTAAACTAGAGGCCCAGTGCATGAAATTTGGGCAATGGGGATGTGTGTCCCTCAGCCCAGCCTGCACTATCTTCAATCTGGGACCCCCTTGAAGGATGTCCAACTGCCTGTTTAGGCCTGATCCCATGGGCCTAAATGGGATCTCACAATCCAGGACTGTTGGATCCCAACTGCTCATTTGCCTGCCTTCCTGATTGCCCCTAACCACTCCCCTGCCAGCCTGATTGATGCCTAACTGTTCCCCTGCCAGCCAGTTTGCCCCCAACTGCTGTCCCCTGCAGGCCTGGTCACCCCTAACTGCTCTCCACTGCAGGCCTGGGTCCCCCCTAATTTCCCTCCTCTGCTGGCCTGGTAACTCCTAACTGCCCTCCACTGCAGGCCTGGTCACTCCTAACTGCCCTTTCCTACAGGCCTGCTCCCCTCCCCCCCCCCCCCCCAAGTGCCCTCCCTTGCAGGCCTGGTCCCCTGCAATTGCCCTTCCCTGCAGGTTTGGTCATCTCCAACTTCCCTCCTCTGCCTGCTTGGTCACCACCACCTGCCCTCCCCCCAGACTTGATTGCCCACAACTGCCCTCCCTTGCAGGCCTAGTCCCTCCCAACTGCCTTCCCCTGCTAACCATTTTGTGTCCACATTGAGGCAGCCATCTTTGACCACATGGGGGCAGCCATCTTTTGTGTTGTACTCTTTTATTAGATAAGATAGAGGTCTGGTGCATGGGTGGGGGCCTGCTGATTTGCCCTAAAGGATGTTCCAGAACAGGGTGTGGGCTTCCTTGGGATATGCGGGTTTCCCTGGGTAAGGGCCTGTGGTGGTTTGCAGGCCAGCCATACCCTCTGGCAACCCAAGCGGAGGCCCTGGTATCTGGGGTTTATTTATCTTCTATAATTGAAACTTTGTAGCCTGGAGCAGAGCCAAACCTTCTGCTTGCTCCATGGCAGCAGCCATTTTGTTGGGACTTATGTACCTTCTATAACTGAGCCTTAAGCAGAGGCCTAAGCCGGCCAGGGTGTGTGGAAAGCTTGGGTTCTCCCATTGCCGGGGGCAACCCTAGCCTCCTGCTCTTTCCAGCTCCGTGGCTGCCATTTCTGTTTAGATTTATGTATCTTCTATCATTGAAACTTTGTAGCCTTGAGCTTGGCTTCCTCTATTGCTGGAGAAACCCAAGCCTCCCTCCTATTCTCTGTGGCAATAACCATCTTGGTTGGGGTTAATTTGCATACTCGCTCTGATAGGCTGATGGGCATGGCTGGTGGGTGTAGCGGAGTGATGGTTAATTTGCATATTACTCTTTTATTAGATAGGACATTTTAAATCTCTGCAAACCACCTTTTAATATGGACATGTATTTATTTATTTTTGTCTGTTTTTCTTCCTTGACCAGACCTTAAGCTTGGTGAAGGCAGGTGCTTGTCACTTTGTTCTGTGCTTTAACTGTAAGTACTCATTCTCAAAATGATTATAAACAAATCTGGTTGTATATAAAAAATAACTTAAATGAAAAGTTGTGTACACATGAAAACAAACAAAAGAGATTAGTAAAAGGCAATATGCAATTAAGTGCTATGTGAACTTTTTATCACAAAGCATTGCTTTAGTTAAAACACAAAGGAGGAGGTGACAAGTCACATTACTGTCAATCATTATAACTTCTAAAAACCCGTTTCAACCTGGAGAAGGCAGAAGACTTAGGTGGAAGTGATGGGAAGGAGAAAGGAGAAGGCAGGCGGGTGGGGGGGAGAGTGCAGATAGATGGTACAGAGAATTTGAATGTAGCAAACATCAGCTCCTGCACTAGTTTGGTAAGGCAGCCTGGCTTGCCCCAAGATGACATTCTTAATATGTGGAGATTGGGGTAGATGACAGTGGAAAAAAATATTTTGAAATTCCATTTTCCACTCCTAGAAGTTTCTCCCTCTTATCCGCCCTCCCTCCCCCCCCCTCCCCCCACACACACCCTTCCTTAGCGAGATGAAACTACAAAGTAGGTTTATAATAGAAAAAAAGAAGAAGTTGCCCTCCTAGGTGGAGAGTTGGGGAAGTAAAAAGAGTGTGTGTGCTTGTGGTAGCAAGGGGGTGGGGCGGAATAGTCTATCATCCTCCCCCTTCTCCTCCCCCCTTGCAATTGTTAGTCTTTGGCCTTCAATCTCGGCGACCCAAGCTGCTGAAACAGACCCGGCCTGCAGGATCTATGGGTATGCTCAGCATCTGCAGGACATTTGTTTTTCTAAACTCCTCCTCTTCCCACAGTTTGGCAAGCATTAGTCATTTTCAACGAGGCAAGAGCGCACAAGTGTGCCTGTGTGGCTGGGGCTCCAGATCAGGCCCCGCCCACCCGGAGCCGGGACTTGGCCGCGCGGAGCTCTTGGCTTGGGTCGGAGTGGCCACTCCAAGCCGCTCGCCCCGGGGCAGCTCAGCCTCCTCCCCTAAAGGGGACTGTCCGGCCGCCCCGGCCGAGCTCAGGGAAGAAAGTTTGCGGAGCCCAGGGGAGCCGGGGCCGCCGGAGGAGGGGAAGGAACCAGAGGACCCGGACCTCCGCTCTGAGTTTGTGCAGCCGTCCTGGGGGGCGCCTGCCCGCCGCGCACTGCAGCCGCGGGGCTCCAGGCCACCCCCAGGAATGGGACTCGGGGTCCGGTCCTAAGAGGGAGCTGGAGGCGGGTCTGGAGGCCGGTCTGGAGGCCGGGGAGGAACTTCTTCCGCGCGCTGTCGCCTGGGCCCTGATCGTCTGCAGAAACTCTCCGGATCCGCTGGGGAAGGACTGAGTGCTCTCCGCCGGGACTCGTCTGGATTCCGGCAGCAGCTGGGGCTGCGGCTGCAGAGCCTCCCTTTGTCCTCTGCGGACCTCCCTCCCTCCCCTGGGCCCTCCCTCCTCCCCGGAGTGGGTTCCGCTGCTCCGGGCGCCCTCGCAGCTCCTCCTCCTTCTGCCCCCGGATCCTGGGTGACTCCTGTCGGCCGCCGCGTCCCGGGGGGCCCTGCCGAGGGACCAGGAGCTGCCGGAGCCCAGGCCCCCGCCGGCCGCACGATGGTGGCGCGGCGGTCCCTGGCGCGCAGTCCGGGGAGCTGGCTGGTCCCGGGGCTGTGGCTGCTGGCGCTCGGCGGTCCCGGGGGGCTGCTCAGCGCCCAGGAGCAGCCCAGCTGCAGAGGCGCCTTTGATCTCTACTTTGTCCTGGACAAGTGAGTGCCCGAGGGGGTGCAGTGTCTTGGGGTGCGGGTGGCTGTGGGTTGTGAGTTGTGGCTGGGGAAGACTAGAGGTGTGCGCGCGCCCAGGGAGAGGGAGGAGACACCTGGGGATGGGCTACCTTGTTGCTGTTTCCGGGCCGAGGGCCAGCGCTTTGGGGGTCTTTGCTGGCTGGGGGTGGTGATAGGCGCCATCCAGAGGTGCTGGCCCCTCGGGGAAAGTGGGAGAGTCCCTGCTTGCCAGTCCAACAAGGGCCTCCTGGGAAATGGAAATGCGGCCCCCGGGGTAGCCTTCTGTGCCCCTGGAACCCAGACCAGGCTGTTGGTCAGCCTCTCAGTCCTCACCCAGTCCCTCTGGCTAAAGTGTGCTTGGTTTTATCCTAGGAAATGCCTAGGGTTAACCCACCCCCCACCCAGTGTGGTTAGCATTTCCTGGGAAGTGGGCTGTGCCTGTTTTATTTTATTATTATTTTAAAAATATATTTTATTGATTTTTTACAGAGAGGATGAGAGAGGGATAGAGAGTTAGAAACATCGATGAGAGAGAATCTTCTATCAGCTGCCTCTTGCACTCCCCCCCAACCCCCCCTTACTGGGGATGTGCCCACAACCAAGGTACATGCCCTTGTCCGGAATCGAACCCGGGACCTTTCAGTCCGCAGCAGGCCTTCGCTCTACCCACCAAGCCAAACCGGTTTCGGCTGGGCTGTGTCTATTTTAAAGAGCCTGAGTCTTGCTCCAAACTATGAGCCGGCAGGTGGTCCCCAAAGATGGGTTGACTTTCTCAATTCTTATAGCGCCTAAGTTTCATTACTGGTACTGTGACTTTGATTCTAGAAGCGGCCCCATGTGCGTGTTTGTTTTTCTCTGATGCGCTCTATTTCTTTCTTTCCTTTTCTGTTTCTTTTCCAGGTCTTGGAGTGTGGCCAATAACTGGCTTGAAATTTACGATTTTGTCAAGCAACTGACAGAACGATTTGTGAGGTATTTCCCCCGCTTTACTTTCCTAGAGACTGGAGTGTGACATTGAGGGAAGTAGACCAACATGTAGGGTATCTCCCCTCCCCCCCCCTTTTTTTTTTTTGAAACCTTTTGCAGGAAAAGCCGGCAGTGAAATGTGGATGTTAAAGAGCCTCCCTAAGTTCATTATTGCTCACACGCTCTTATGCGGACAGATCTTCACTGTTTGAGGGCTTATGTCATCTGGAGCCCAGAAACTTGGCTCAGGCTCTGGGGAAGCATCTTCAAATGCTATTCCACATGTCTCTTCCTTTTTGAATCTTCATCTGTTATGAATTTCAGTTATGCTTTCTCATAATTTTTCACATTGATTTTTTTTATGCGAATAGTCTTCATAATATATTTTCCTTTCCACACGATTCTTAGCATTGTAGAGGTCCTCATTAAAAAAAAAAAAGTGTTGGTAAACTTCAAATGAACATGTGTTAATAACCTACTACCAGAAAAGGCACTTGTGTGGATGTTTAAAGAAATGACTTGTGTTTACAAAATGTGTGGGTGGGGTGTGTGGTGCGTTTAAAATTTAACTGTTCTATATATGCAATAAGGCTTACTAGGAAAGACTCCTATAAAAAGCAGAACTACTATGTAATCCAGCTCACTCTCTTATTTAGAGGTAACTAGGAATTAGTGGCATCCCTACTTGAAAATGGCCCCCAGACACCAGGCCTTTGAGGCTTTTCCCCCCTCTTTCATTTTTCTCTTTTAAGGAAAAACTATGCAATGAGCAAATGCAAGTTTATCAAGATAATGGGAAGGACACAAAAAGGAGCTGTATCATTAAATATTGCTTCTTTCAGTCTCGTTAGCCCAAATGTTGTCTGCAAAACAGGCTTGGATGATCAAAACATTTTGAAAGTCATGTTGCAAGTAACTTCAACAATCTGTAGAGGCCTAGGCAATCCTTTCAGTTATTGGCAGTCCTAAAGTTATCCCTATAAAAATGTATGCTTGTCCATGTTCCATCATCCGTCTCCTGTACCAGAAACCAAGTATAACACTCATTTCTGGACAATGTCAGAGATAAAACCGTCTAAGAGAGAAAAATAAACAGGGCCCTATGTCCTGAAATGTCAAAGGCAGAAGAAAGTTATTTGTACATTTTCCTATTTAATCCAAGAGTGTGCAGAGAGTGTCACACAGGTTTTGATGGAGAGCAGTGGATCATTTACGTACAGCATTTTCAGGAAGTGAGGTTCTTATTCATTCGGTCTGCTTTGCAAGATGGACTTCTGTAATACAGTTTCTGGCTCAAGTTTGGTTTCTCCGTTACTAAGATACAGTGTAGGAAGTGAATAAAGGGTGACTACTGAAGTGAATGATTTTCAAAATATGCAGGGGACATCATTCTGCTCTTCGGTCTGTGGGTTTTAGATTCATATCTTCAGTTTGCAATCTGAGTAATCGTTGCAAAGTGTGTCTTGGAAACAGGAACCATTCTGTGGTGTAAATGCCTAAAGCTTAAAAGATGCAGCTCACTGGGGCAGTTGTTGACAGTTGGAAATAGGACCTTTGAGACTTAGGGAATTGAAGATGCCTGATCAAAACGGGATTTGTTGGTCTCTTTTACATTGTCCATGGCAATTAAATTACTCTTTAAGTATTCTTACTTCAGGATAACTTTTTATGAAGTTCATAATACAATTGCAATTAAGTCAAACTGGCTGCTCTCCAGCCCTCGATTGCTAGCCATAGTCTCTCTGCAGGGTTTGGTCTCCTTTAAGGAGATGGGGTAGAACATCAAGCAGTTTCTCAAAAGGTTTTTCATGGACCTAGAATTTATCTTTCTAGTAAGTCTCTTCCTAAACAGCCCCAAAGGGCATGGAGGAGTGTTTGAGAGCTGAGAAGCACTGCCTGAATCCAAATGACTTATGTAGGAATGTGAAGCAGAGTTAGTGTATCTACTTAGGGGGTTCCATTTAAAAGAAGCATGGACTATTCAGTGAGACTGATTTCAAATGAGACTCCCTGGCTCTAGATCTGTACTGTGTCAATATTTCTTTGAAACATGTTTTAACTGCCTCTCTTCTTATTTTGCAGCCCTCAGATGAGAGTATCTTTCATTGTGTTTTCTTCTCAAGCAACCATTATTTTGCCATTAACTGGAGACAGGTTAGTGCATTATCATGTCACTGTGGGCTTTTAGCAGAGACTAATCTTAAACGAATGATTGATATTTCAAGCGGTGATTCAGGCCTCTCTGTGAAATCAAGCAAATGCATAGACAATGTGTTTTCTTCACTAATAGAGGGGAGAGGAGGTACGATTAATATAAAAGAGCAGATAATCTGAAAATCAATATCATTCATATTGGCTGTGGAATGTACAATGAAACCCAGGACTCTTGTCTACTTGTATATTCACTACCTCCCACCTTTTCCTTTCTCAGTTACTGTAAGTAGTTCTACATCTTTCTTGTTTAGATGTAACAAATTAATCAACTAGGAGTTTAAAGAACATTAGGGAGGAAAAGCTATGGATCTATTTGGATAATTCACTAGATTCAGCAATCATCCTGAGTCTCTGGTCTTACTCTAAGGTGCACTGGTGCTAAATATGTTTACTTTAGTAAAGAAACTTGCTTTATATTGTACTGAAGGCCCAGTGCACAAAATTTGTCCATGGGGGGAGGGTTCCCTCAGCCCAGACTCCCCTCAGGTGATGACCAACTGCTGGTGTAGGCCCACTCTCTAGGATCGGCAGTCAGACATCCCTCTCACAATCCGGGACCATTGGCTTCTAACTGCTCACCTGCCTGCCTTCCTGATCGCCTCTAATTGCCCCATCTGCTGGCCTAGTTGTCCCCAACTGCCCCCTCCTGCCAGCCTGGTTGACTCCAACTGCTCCCCCCTTGCTGGCCTGATCACCTCTCACTGCCCCCCTCTGCTGACCTTGTCACTTCTCTCTGCCCCTCTTGTCTACCTGGTCGCACCTAACTGCCCCTCTTGCAGGCCTGGTCGTCCCATGCAGCCCGCTGCTCAGTCACTTGGTCTCCCCTCGCTAACCCCCCTGACAGCCTGGTCACCCCACGCAGCCTGTTTGGTCATCTGTTCGGTTACGATGGTCACTTAGGCTTTTATATGTATAGATTAGTACATATAGATGTACATATAAAATACATCTTTATGGCCGAAATCTGTTTGGCTCAATGGATAGAACGTCGGCTTTGGGACTGAAAGGTCCCGGGTTCAATTCCGGTTAAGGGCATGTAGCTTGGTTGCGGGCATATCCCCAGTAGGGAGTGTGCAAGAGGCAGCTGATCGATGACTCTCTCTCATTGATGTTTCTAACTCTCTATCTCTCTCCCTTCCTCTCTGTACAAAATCAATAAAATATATTAAAAAAATAAATAAAAAAATAAAATACATCTTTATGGCTCACATTTTTATAAGACATATGCAATATATATGTATGTGTCTCTACATGCAGACACATACATATACACAGACACACACACAAAACTTTTGTAAAAGGAATGGCTTTTTCTAAGCAATTGTCACAGTATTTCATATGACCATTTCTATGTGATTTGAACATACTGTGGCAAGTTGGAAATAGTCATTGCCATGTTTTAAAGAATGACTAGTTTCCATGGGATCAGTTTTGTTTACTACTCTGAATTCTTTGTTATTATATCTACTTCATTTAATACAAGGTATGCACGAAAGCTCTTTCTCAGATCTTTTTCTTTTTCTTTTTTTTACATTTTAATTTCTTTATTGATTAAGGTATTATATATTTGTCCTCCTCCCCCCCAGTATCTTTTAAACCCTTCTTGCTCAGTTCTTGTTGGACTAATTAATGAGTTAGTATTATTTTTAAATCAAATTTCTCCAAACTGTAGTTTTAGCAGGGGAGACTGATGGAGTGCGTTTTGCATCATATGTGGATTTCTCAGGAGTTATGTGTGAATACAGGTTTCTTTTATCAATTATTTTTCCTTAAAAAATGTCAAAAAAGCAGAATATTTAAAAGGATTCAGGGAGAGAGCTTATATAAACTTAAAATTTATTTGTGCTTTAAGTATTACTTTTCCTGGAGAGGAAGACTGTGGAGGGGGGGCGGGGGTTCCATTTGCACCTCGGTTTCTTCAAGGCCAGAGCCGTAGCAGGCCCTTATAACCCGTATGCAACATCTTTGTACACTCAGTGATGTGACAGTCCTTGACTCCATGGGAATAAATTTTCTTCACTGACCAACTTAATTTCCAAAGAAACAGATTTGGATCTAGCCTATCCTCTAGGAGAAAATAAAAGAATAATGATAACATTTATAGAATGCATGTGTAGAGAAAAGCACTAAGCATAATGACAGACATATCGTAGACTCTCAGTAATTGTCACCTGCGTATGCTGTGCCAGGTGCTCTGTCAGACACTTTACATACGGGTCCTCCAGCACTTTGTAGATGAAGTGTTATCAGTGGTCTCCGAGTTGATATTACTTAGACATGCGCATGAAGAGCTTAAGTCATTAATGTAAATTAGAAGTTCTTCCCTTCTCTTGGTTGCATCTAATAGGGGAGAGATTGGAATGGCATAAAGAGGCTTCTATTTGAAGAGACAGCATAACATTGTTGTTAAGAGCCACTGAACCGGTGGTATTTAGCTAAATGGTCATGGACAAGCTACTTAACCTCTTTTATTAAATATATTTTTTAAAAGTTCATTTCTAGAGAAAGAGGAAGGGAGAGAGAGAGAGACAGAATCATTGATGTGAGAGCCAAACATAGACAGGCTGCCTCCTGCCTGGGAATCAAGCCTGCAGCCCGGCATGTGCCCTGGCCAGGAATCAAAACTGCGAACATTCAGTGCAAGAGATGACGCCCAACCAACTGAGCCGCATTGGCCAGGACACTTAACCTCTTTATGCCTCCTTTTTTCTCCATCTACATACTGACACCAATGATGATGATGATAACAATAACTACCTCATAAGATTGTTGTAAGAATGGAAGTCAGTGAGTGAAGAGAATATATGACAGAATCTGGCACATAGGCATTTAAGAGGTGAAAGTTTTGTTTTTGCCTGGAGCTAGGAAATATGGAATATTTAATGATAAGAGAAGGATTGTATTTATATAAAGAGATTATTGTCATGTTCAAAAGGATTTATAATACTCCAGGCAGAATTTTAATAATGCTACTTGAAACTTATTTTGCTTGCCTATCTCTTGGGAATAAATATACATTTATTTTTATTGAATTTAACTATTTGTGGCATGTTGAATTAGTTTGGAATGACAGAAAGAACACTAAGAAGGTCTGGGTTAGAGTTCTGGTTTTGCTACTTCCTGTCTTTGAGACTTGGACCAAGTATATACTTAGTGTGTTACTTTTTATATGTATAAATTACAGAAATAAACTATCAAGTTTTCTTAAGAGAGATGTTAGGAAGATCAAAATAAGACAGTGCATAGAAAAGTACTTGCATATCACAGAATAGTCTCCAGTAAAGGATATTGTTTTCTGCTTCTAGTTATTCTTATACTAATTTTATTTAATTAAGACAGTAACTTTTTAAATTTCTATGATCCTCTACATTTGTATATAATAAGATCATTTTTCATCCATTACATACTTTCAAGTGTGTAGGAACAATTTACATATTTAGATGCAAGATCACTGAACAAATATTTCCACAACTATTGTAGATCTTTGTGTCAAAGCCTAGAAATGGGTATTCTATGTATCAACTTTCTTGATGGCGTATATCAGACTGACAAACAGATCTGCATGCATGAGCAACACAAAAGTTCAGTACAGCAGGTTTCACAATTTTGGTTCTATCACTCATAATTCTTCAGACTGTGGTGAATATGAGAAGTACCTCTTTCATGTTTCTCAGAGTGTTGCTAAATATTTTCAGTAGAGATGAAGCAAGATTGGAAGGCAGTATATCCTTACGGTAGGTAGGGCAGCGTCTTCTGTTAGGGTTTCAGCATAACATCTAGTGCTTTGTAAATGCACGAATAGAATCGTACACATGGCAAGAAATGACCAGTTATACATTTCATAAACTCATCACTTAGAAACTTTATTCTTTTAAACATTTCAGTTCAAAACACTCCCTTCTATTCTCTTGTCTTCATGATTTTTATCCTCCATATATCTGTTAGTCCATTTTTTTTCCATCTATCTGCATGCCTTCCTTATAAGATTTATTGAGCATGGTGGGCTCTGGGAGTAACACAAAGATGTATAATCTAGTGTGTGTGAAAATAAGGGGCCCGCACATACACATGAATAGTTCAGGGCTGTATCACAGCATCAGGTATGAAGAAAGTGCTGAGGGTTTTTCAATATGGAAATATCCAGCCGTTTAATATTAGAGAATTTTTAAAATATATATTTTATTGATTTTTTACAGAGAGGAAGAGAGAGGGATAGAGAGTTAGAAACATCAATGAGAGAGAATCACTGATCAGCTCCCTACTGGGGATGTGCCCACAACCAAGGTACATGCTTTTGACCGGAATTGAACCCATGACCTTTCAGTCTGCAGGCTGACGCTCTCTCCACTGAGCCAAACTGGTTTTGGCAATATTAGAGAATTTAAAACAGGACTAATTTTAAAGGATATTTTTAGTTTTTGTGGTATATAATTGGGAGTAGTGACTTATGCTCAGTTATGTTTAGTATGGTCTTAATGATATAAAAGTGATATAGTTGAAATCATTTAGTGAACAATTACTAGGAGATAGGCAGTGTGCAAAATGCTTTCCATTCATTACCTCACTTAATCCTCATATCAACTTCATGTGATACATACTATTAGTATCTCATCTTTGCCAATGAGGAAACTGAAGCTGAGAAAAGTAATGAAGCTTGTCCAAGGATACTTAGTTAATAAGTGGTGATCAGTGTATCAGCCAGAATGGGATCTTAATGTATAAGGTAGATCGTGCCACTCTCATGCCGAATACAGTCTAATGGCTGCGGATAGAACACACCTCCCAGTGGCCTAGAACTCCGACCTGGTTGCCTCACCCAGTCCTCTGTTACAGCATTGGATGCCATAGGCTAGCCCACTGGCCACCTTTCCATTCCCTAAAAAGGCCAAGCTTGTTTCCACATGAGGAAGTTTGCTCTTTCTCTGCCCCAGATTTTGTCC